GATTGGGGACGCTTCTTTCTGCTGGCTGTGGGGTACTGAGTTAAAGGCTTTCCGACAGTCCAGGAAATTGCAGTCCGCCCGGCCTTCTCCTTCTTGCTTAATCGTTGTCACATGGTCGTAGAATTCTATTAAGCCAGTGAGGCAAGTTTTACCCTCCCTGAACCCATGTTGATGGGTTGTCACGAAATCCCTTCTCTCCAGATGTGTTACTAGGTTTTTTCTCACAATCTCCTCCATCACCTTGCATGGTATACAAGTTAAGGACATACCTTATATATGTACATAAGGATGTGTGTGTGTGTGTGTGTGTGTACTCACCTAGTTGTGCTTGCGGGGGTTGAGCTCTGGCTCTTTGGTCCCACCTCTCAACTGAGGCGGGACCTCAGTTGGGACCCCACACACACACACACACACACACACACACACACACACACACACACACACACACACACACACACACACACACACACACACACACACACACTGAAATGTCCATTGCAACATATTGCAATGTCCTGTGATTCAGTGGTCTAGGTCGTCGAATTGCAGCCGACGATCATAGGTTCATTTCCCAGGATAGGACAGAACCGTTTTGGCAGCGTGTCCTTACATCTGGTACCTATACACAGAGAAACCACATTAACGTCGTAAATCAATGAACAAATTCACATTAGCCTTCATGAGGGTTCGAACCAATGCGCTGGCTTGTTCCCAGGCGCACTCTAGCCGACTGCACCGCCACATGGTTGACAGAGCCCGAGTTGCTGGGGAAGGGAAGGGAACTATCAGGGGAAAGCGCCAAGCTATTACAACTATATAGCACTGGGAAGGGGGTCAGGATAAGGATTTGGGATGGGACGGGGGGAAGGAATGGTACCCAACCACTTGGACGGTCGGGGATTGAACGCCGACCTGCAAGAAGCGAGACCGTCGCTCTACCGTCCGACCCAAGTGGTTGGAGAGTTGCTGGGGAAATTGTGTGAAACCCCGGTTAGGCTTCAGCGGAAGCCTCGGGACCCTTGTGGGTGCAGTAGCACCTCCAGGTTGCAATTCTTGTGACCATGTCGTGGTGCAGTCGACTAGAGCGTGCTGGAAACACCCCTGGTATCTAGTACCTATAGTCTTCTCGCAGTAATATGGTATCTGGGCGTTAGGCAACTGTTGTGGGTTGCTTCCTGGTGAGTGGGCAGCCAATTAAAATGATGTAACAATTAACAAGACTGTTGAGTATTTCCACAGTCCGAGGCTGATGAGTTAGTCATCACTTATTTTCACCGCCAAAAATAGAAATGAGTAACACTTCGTGGGCCAGCCAGGGGCTTAGGGCCCGCGCACTATTATCTCTAAAAAATGACTTATCACTTATTAATTAAATTAATCCTAGATCAGGGAGCCGGTCGGCCGAGCGGACAGCACACCGGACTTGTGATCCTGTGGTCCCGGGTTCGATCCCAGGTGCCGGCGAGAAACAATGCGCAGAGTTTCTTTCACCCTATGCCCCTGTTACCTAGCAGTAAAATAGGTACCTGGGTGTTAGTCAGCTGTCACGAGCTGCTTCCTGGGGGTGGAGGCCTGGTTGAGGACCGGGCCGCGAGGACACTAAAGCCCCGAAATCATCTCAAGATAACCTCAAGATAGATATACGGTGTGTGTTTGTAGTCCAGCGTGGAGGTATTTCAAGTCACACTACTGAAGTATGAGTCGTGCTTTATGAAATGAAATTCATGAAATGAATTCATGAAATGAGTCGTTTCTCCCGCTGTAAGGTAAGGAGGAACTAGCTAACAGGCCTATTTACGTAGTTGTCACAAGAACTGGGAGAAGGCTGTCGGGTTATTCATTTCGTCTTTTATCCGCCAAACACACACCGAAACTACGACGTTGTTACAACGTTCGAACAAGTTTTAACACCTCCTAACCAGTTATAACAACCAATATAGTAAGTTGTAACAACGTTCTACTACGTCATAAACACGTTAAGCCAAGATGTAACAACTTTATTACAAGTTGTAACAAGCGGAAAATAGAGACAGTTTCGGTTTGTGTTTCCAGAGAATTGTTTCTTATATTTCAGTGATGGGAACATCAGATCATTTGGAAATGCATCGGACGAGGGAGTGGGGAATGGTGGGGAGGACGAGGGGACGGAGGAGTGGGGAGGACGAGGGGACGGGGGAGTGGGGAATGGTGGGGAGGACGAGGGGATGGGGGAGGGGAATGGTGGGAAGGACTGGGAGAGAGGAGGGAAGGTTGCTGTGGCTGGTGCCGGGCGCCTCATACACATGGATAAAAACATGTTTATTTTAAATATTCCACTTCTTTCTCCTCTGTATATGTCACGAAAGAAGATTACATTACATTACAAACACAATTAAAATGAACAATTTAATTAATACACAACAATGACAATGGTTCCAGTGTAACGCTCCCTAATCAGCCCCCCCCCCACCCCCACCCCATTGATTTGCCACTCTGGAAAAAATCCAGTCTCCTTACTTAATCTAATCTAACCTAATTTGACTTAACCTAAACTAACCTAACTACCAACCCACCCTAACCTATAGAGTGTGTTGCATAGAAAAAGTAGATACTTGTGAGCCCGTGTGGGGTGGTGCGGGTCACGTTAAACAGCCCACTTGACGTATTTTATTGGTGTCCTTCTGACTTTACAGCTTCCTTTACGGCTTGTAATGTGATTAAACAACCTCACCTTACTTATCTGTGGCGCTAGTTTTTGGAAAGTTGCTTGAACAATCGATAAGATGTTACAGCGACAGATAGATAAGGTGTTACAGCAAGAGAGAGATAAGGTGTTGCAGCAAAAGATAGATAAGGTGTTAGAGCAAGAGATAGATAAGGTGTTACAGCAACAGATAGACAAGGTGTGTTGTATACATCTCAGAGCGGGAACTCCGGCACGCGTCCGGCCAGAAGCAATCATGAACATCAAGAACAATTTTGTCAAGTTTGTGTTTTGTTTTGAGGAGACAGTGATTTGGTGTGTGTGTGTGAGGGGGTTGTTGGGGCCTAGTCTACCCTTCACAACCCCCCCTACCTTGTCGGAAAATCCGACACCATTTAATATCATAGACAGATAAGAGCTGTGTTGTATAAACAAGTTACCCATAGAAAACGTAACTTGTAGTGGAATTACCGTTTAAAGAAAACGGGATATCATCACCACATACTATTATAATTCACCACCTATTATGGTGGGAATTATTCTTAAATACATTAGTCTTTGGACTTTACCATCATAAAAACATCTTATATAAATTAACTTAATTATCAATATTAAAGTAGAGTAAATGTGACCCTTCTATCACCTTTGGACATCTGGACAATGTAAGCCAGGCGTCAGTGGGGAGGAGGGCAGCCATTGTTGTTATACTAGACCAGAGGCACACGGGAGCAAATACGGCTCCTGTTAATTTTACTTGGACGTAGTGTTATGGAAACTAAAAGTGTACCATTATCAACACGCTGTCTACAAATTCAAGTTAAGTGTTCTTTCCGAAACCCATTATCTATCATTAGTGGCCATTAATGTCATTGGGTAGGGTTAGCCGGTTAGAACGCGAAATCGCCTCATACTAAAGGTAATTAAGCCAGGTCTTTATTGTTCCATGTTCTGTATAGTGTTTTCTCTGATATAGCTTGTCATATATAGGATTCTGGCTTCACAGCTAGCGCACTTTTGACAGGTCAAGACGAGGAAGCAAGATTTGTGCACCAGTTACTGGGTGATATGGAAGCTACCTCAAAGAGGATAATTTGGTGTCTACACCCTAGTTATACCTGGTGGACTAACCTGCTGTACTATAAGATAAGGAACCTCTTCAATGTATGTAGTTAATTCTGCAGTTTGATTGGCTGCATATATATTAATTTAATAACCCCCCTAATGTGTAGAGGATCGATTTGTGAGATTAAGAGATTATTGCAGAAATACAGTCCACTTATCATTATACAAATTGCTATCGAAATATATAAATTAACGTAAATATAAATTCATATAAATTAAATAAATATAAATCTCACAGGTCGGTTCCCACATTATTTGGACCTTCGGAACCGGAATATTCGGTCCTTTGAACCCACATTTGGTCATCTTAGTACCGGATGAACCAGTTAACCAGTGGATTCATTAAATATACTAGTGCAGTGTTATTTAAACAAAGCCAGTCAAGACGGCGGCGTTGACTCGTGCGTGTTCACGAGCCCCGCTCAGTTCAGATCTGCCTCATCAGCGGTTTCAGGGACACCCACAGATATTTGGTGGCGTGTTATTCCGTGAAATGACAGCGCTAATATAGAAGCCAGCCAAATTAGTGGCTGTGTCCTCGCAAGATTGTTCACGGATTTCGTGGTGTTACATTTCGCGAGAGATTATCTACGAATTTTGTGGAGTTTATTTCGCGAGGTCACTAATAATATTTAATACTTCTAGATAATATTAGAAGTTTCATAGAGGCTAATTAAGAGGCTATTATCAATAATTGTGTATATTATTTCTCCAAATAGAGAATTATTTAATATATATTGCACTAGTGATCACAGTATAATATTTACTAATTGCCAACCCACAACAGGGTAGGATATGACTAGTTGAACTATTATTGCTCATCCTAGTCCCATTATTACCATAGTCAGTTGTACTATATTGAACAACCTAACACCATTAATGAATGGTCCAGACCCTATTTTGGGTGTAATTTTTATCAACTCGAGTTGAGTTGTGTATATATAATAATTTACTTATGATCATTACACCTTTGAGTGATTAATTAGTGTCTCTACCATCCTAGGGTGATATAGAAGAGCTAACCTAAAGGTACTTCCAGTGACACTGGTTTATCACTCAAATCATTAGTGTGTATGATTGTATATATATAATGTGTATTAATTTTAAGTGCTAACCTCTAGTAGAGGTAGGATTATTGCCTAGTGAGTGCAGAATTTACCCTAGGCTACCATTAGTGTTTGTTCAGTATTATGAG